TATATAAAATTATACATAATTATGTATGAGCATTTTTTTGTTACCAAACTTAATTTTTTGAACATATATAATACAAAAATTATCCTTCTAAGGATAAATTATTCTTCTTAGGACTATAATAGACTAAGTACAACAATATGCTATAATTAGAATCTTTGCAGATTTTTGCGATATAATTCATAATTAATAATTTATAATTAAAACTACAATTATTAAGCAAACGATGCTATTTTTCTTCCTGGATTATTTTTCTACGTTTGTAGAAATTGATTTTTTTTCATAATATTCTAATAATTTGTAGCATCCTAATAAACGAGAAACAAATGTACACTTCTATTTGTTTTCACAAGTGTGTGGCATTAATGAAATATAGCTGATATGATTATTGATATATTGATACTGAGAATATTCATATTAAAATACTAACTTATAAAAATTACCTAAACATATAATATTAAGGATATTGCATTAAAATAAGTTTAGTAATAATTTTTGAATTTGTTTTATCAGAAAGGTTAATATTTATAATGTCTAAATAATTAACACTGCATATCTTTCAGCTAAATTATATAAATTAGCGAAGATTATTTTTTTAAGTTTATTAATAAAAAAAATTGTTGTAATATCTCTGATATAAGCTCGGTTTACTTTGGCGCAGACATATGCATGACATTTTTTTTCCTTGTACATTTTTAATTTTGATTTATCCTGTTATCAATTAATTTTGGAGATAACATCTTTTAGCGAAAACAAAGAATGACGCTACATACATAAGGCAATAAATTGAACATAAGGCAATAAATTAAGTTCGTTCGTACTGAAGTAAGTTGCACAATCGTGCGTAAGCAACGTATGCAATGTTACGTCATTTAACGTTCCAAGAAATATGACACGAGGTGTCTCGTACTTCGGGGCAATTCGTATCTCTGTGATGACCGATGTCGCGCGAGCACAAGTTGGTGAGCCGTATATAATAACGAAGGGTCTTTATTATTGTGATCAGTGAAGTGATACACTTCAAGTGATGATGGAGAATAGAACGTTCACCATTGTCCGGTCTCTTGAAGGTATGTGAAATTTTCGAATAAAATTTTCGTAGCATTAAAGTTTTTTGCAGTTTTATTATTAAAAAAAAATAATAAAATTAATTTTTTTAATTAATGTAACTTATTCTTTCACCTTGCTTTAATTTCAAATAAATAATTTTCGCTACCGTATATATTATCCATTTCTTTTTGAAATTGATTTGTTTTTGATTAAAACAAATCAATTTCAAAAAGTTTTTGATTAATACAAAGTTAGCTCTGAAATAAGAAATTTATTTTATAATTTTATTCTTTACTATTTAATTTTATTTAATAATAATTA